GCCACCCGAGATATCGGGTTGGTCAAGGGTATGAATCGATGGTCCCATTCTGAGGTGAAAATGTGAGAAGATTACCCCAGTGACTCGAACGAGGAGTTTTTTCTCAAAGACCCGGGCGACGGCAGGTTTCGCACTCTAGACATACTTGGGATGGTAAGAAAGTCCTGAGCCGATTTTTTGAAAGCTCCAGAACTTTCGCTTATTGATCGATACCTAGAATCTGCTACGTGATAGATTATCGCTGTCGATCATACTTCTCCGCAGTAGGTACCAGCCGGGTTAAAGCAAAAAAGGATAAAGCATTTGTGTTCAAGTCAGTGTTTTTTATCCTCCCAGACAAGTCTGGTACCGACCCCGGAGGGATGGAAGGCTTGGTTGGCCCGGGCGACTCACGACCCAGGATTTGATCCCCGGACCGCTCGCGTGGTAAGCGCGCCACTTGTCACTACACCACTTCCGCCTTCCAACCGGGTTGCCTTCTTTAATTTAATCATGATGTCGATTCCACAAGAGCACTTTCGAGCGATCATCTTCAATGAATGGCGCTGCGGCACAGGAGCAGTGGAAACCGTCAACATTATCAGCATCGCATTGGGAAGGGACACCACTTCCATCATCAGTGCCAAGCTCTGGTTCGCAGGCTTCGAAGGAGGAGACACGGCTTCCGAAAACAAGACAAGGTTGGGAAGCCCCAAACAGTGGAAGACTCCACCGTTCTCGGCGCTGTCGAAGAGGATCCGGAGGTTAGCACCCGCAGCCTTGTGATAAGACTCGGGTGCACCCATCCCACAGTCCTCGGTCCCCTCCACGCCCTCGCCACAGGAAAGTGCGACTCGATGGATCCCTCATGTCTTGACCGATAGCACGCGGTTCAGGCGGGTACCCATTTGTCAGTTTCTCCTTCTTTGCCCGAAAGGAGTTTTTGGAAGGCATGATTACGAGAGATGAGAGTTGGGTCCTCTACGATTCTAACAAGCACAGTGCCGTGTGGCTCCCTCGAGGAGAAGACCCGCCGACACAAGCAAAATCGGACCTTCACCCCAAAAACTGTCTTCTTTGCTGCTCTGGGATTCGCGAGGAATGTTGTATTATGAGCTGCTCCCGTAAGGGCACACCTTCACCGAAAAAATTCGTCAAAGTCGAAGACGTTCAAGGGTGGTCGGTGATTTCTTTGACTTCAGTCTGCTCAGTTCTGGGAGAATAGGTCGCTGACCTGCCCATTAGGTGGGACTCTGTAGTGAGTAACAATGGTGATTATATTGTTGAGTAGATTCCATTGTACGCGGAATAAAAAAAGTAAAACAAAAAAGTGTCAAACGGCTCAGGACTTTCTTACCATCCTAATAGATCAAGCTCGATGAGCGGTAGAGAAGGTGACGATTAGGAAGGTAGTCGGTTTAGGATGGGATATGGTAAATTAAGCGTTGAAAGCGATTGACACGGGCTAAGGAGAGCTCGCTCACATCTCAAAC